CGCAACTCCGTCCTCCTCGCGGCGTATCCTGGCCCCTCGAGTCTATCGAGCTCCCCTCGCGCAGGGGCGGCGGCATAAATAAATAAATACAACGGACATCCCAAGCTAGGGCTGGGTCGAGGACAGACACGTCCCCACCTTTGCAGGATTTTGCAAAAGCGAGGGGGGAGGGCGCATCGCCGCGCGGAGAGGGCTGGGCACAGGGCACAGGGGATCTCTCTCGCATAGGATATGCACTCGGCGGCACGAGGGCAAGGCTGGGCGTCCTATGTTTGTGCTCCCCCCCGGACCCCTCGCTCTCGGGCACTAACAGGGGCGGCGGCAGGACTCCACATATATGCCGCTGAAATTCTTCCGGGCCCATCTGCGTTGTGGGCTGCCTCTCGGCGCGCCCCGATATGCCCTGGGAGTGGCTGGCTACTCATGGGCTTCGTCAAATAGGAGGAAATGATATACCGTCGCCAACTGCAGGATGGATGAGATGCCTGCACCTCCTCCGACCTTTTTAGCGCTGCCGTGCCGAGGCTCGTGTGGTCGCCGTAGACTGGCTCCGACTTGACACGGGCGCATGGAGACGTGATGCCTGCATGCCGCCGTCGAGTCGAAATCGACATGCGAGTCGATCTTTCGCCCGCCAGAGGGATAGGGGGCGTTTTGGGCGACAACAGCGCTGCGACCGCGAATTGCAGGCGAAGTGGCGGTGGACATGCGTCTGGGGGGGCGACCCCCCCATCTTTGTTTACCGAATGCGTCTCTGGATTAGAGTGCGTCTAGTAGGCCTCCTACTTAGACGCTCGCTGTCCTCGGTATGCTCGAGCATCCTAAGATGCGCGAGTCTATATTAGTTGCTCCGCGCATCCCGAATTGCTCGCGGCATCTCCGATTGGCGTTGCTGTCTCAAAAGACGCGCCGTGCATACTGTGAACAGCGCGTGTCTCAGAAGACGCGCGCATATTTTGAACAGCGTGTGGATCTCAAGAAATACACGCACGTATAAAAACAAAAAAGAAAACGGTGTGGCGAGCGCTGCGCGGCGGGCCGTGCCCCCGGCTGTGCGCCGCGGCTGCTGCGCTACTACTCGCACAGCCGCGGCGCGCCCACCCGAGCACTCGTGGGTGGGCGCCCTATAGCCTCTCCGCGCAACGTGCTGGGGCACGGACAGCGGCTCTCACGTGTGGCAGCGGCAGCAGGCCCACCGCTGCACCGACTCACACTGAACAGCACGCACAGGACACAGTCACAGAACACTGCCCCTGACGCCACTCACGGCCACGGGCTACTCAGACTTGGACACAGGCACCTCGCTTAGCACTCCGTGCACGTGGCTGCCGGTTGCCGTCACCAGCGCCGCTTCCTGCCCAGATCAAACACCTGCGACGTGGCGGAGGCGATGAGCGGCCCGCGGTCGCCGTGAGAGCGCGCGTGGTGGGCGACGGCTCACCGATCGAGCGGAAGCGGTCACGCTGTGGGGGCGGCGGAAGCGGTCACGCTGTGGGGGCGGCGGCGAGGCGGGCAAGCCACCCGCAGATCCCCAGAAGGACGCCGTCGCGAGGTCGAGGGCGGGCGGCGGGGGCGGCGAGAGCGAGGCGGTGTTGGCGGCGGCGGTGGCGCGGGCGGCGGCGGTCACGGAGCGGGGGCGAGAGGGTGGTGGCGAGCAAGACACCCGTGCGCGCTGCGCGGTCGCCGTTCTGACTCACATGCCTGCGGACAGCGCCGACGGGTGGTGAGGAGGGCGGCGAGCCGGCGGGCACGGTGTGCGCGCGGTCGCCGCGCGCTGGTGGGCGACAGCTCACCGAGCGAGGAGCGAGGAGCAGGAGAGCAGGAGCGAGTCGGGATGCCCGGTCCCTCAAATCGCCAAGTCAAACAAGAAAAACCGCGCGGCTGGCCGACTCTCGGAAGTACGCTGTCTTCCGTGTCTAGGCGCACGCCCACGCCCTCAGCCTCGAACTGGCCCCGCTACCTGCCGCGCAAACTGGTTGGTGGGGGGGGGAGGCGGCGTCGCCGTCGGATCGTCGTAAGCAGTGCATGCAACTTTGGTCTTTGCGCCCAGAGCTCGTGGCGCGAGCAGATGCATGCGCGGTGCTGAGAACCTGGTTCTCCAGGAGGGGCAGGCCGCGAGGAGAGACCTCACACGAGCACTCAAGGCAGGGCCCCCAGGGGGTGCCGAGAGATCACACCGCCTTTTCGTGCTCCCTGGCTCCCTGCTCCCCCCTCGGTGCCCGGTGCACCCGACACACGGTGTCTCCTGAGACGCTTCCCTGTCCAAGTATAGTAAAATGTGATCTAGTATGCAAGTGCCATCTCAGAACAGCTGTGCATCTATAGATGCTTGTGGCGTCTAAGATGGAACGCGTAACAAAAGACACGGCGCGGCTATCTCCAGGACAGCCATCGCATCCTAGAATGCCCTGTGTACCCGAGACACATGGTATCTTTGAGATGAAAAGTGCGTCCTAGAATGCGTTTTTGCATTCTAGGACGCATCGGTAAACAAAGATGGGGGGGTCGCCCCCCCAGACGATGCTCCCATGTTGCCGACCAGCATGCCGACGCGGCGCCGGGGAGTGGCCGGCGCGCTCGCCGCGACCACGACGGCTACTCTGTGATGCTCCCGGGCCGACCCGTCCTACCTAGCGTCCTACCCGACGGTCTCGCTCACGCTGAGAAAATTTCTGAAATGGCGTGCAGCAGAGTCACCGACGAGTCGGTCCGTGTGACTCCTCGTGTCCCGTACCGTTCCTCACACATCCATAAACTCACTTTGGCCTCACTGAAGCAAGCCCTCAATCCTGAATCCTCAGATTTTAGATTAGGACGCTGTCGACCCTCTACTGTCGGTGTCGCAGAGTTGATGGGTGATGTGTGTGGAGATCTCGCGCGGCGCTAGCATCATAAATGCTAGGGTGCTGCTGACAGCGCCTTTATCGCTTTATGCTTTAACTGCACGTGGGGCCAAGAGACAGCGCACGCGTGAAGTCTGAAGAGAGAGATTAGATCTCTGCTTACATCTCTGGGGGTAAGAACTGAGATAGATATCGACGAGAGAGGAGCAGGAGGTGGGAGCTCGAATTCACAAGCGACCGGGATGCCGAACCACGCGGAAAGTCAGAGTGCAGTGTGTCCAGTGTGCAAGACCTGCATGCCACCGTGCCACGCGTGTGGGTGGTGTGGGTCAGGGTCTCCTGTGCCTTCCCGCACTTCTGTTGGCCGTTCGCGGGGGGGGGGGGGGGGCAGAGGCCCCGCCAGCGCCACGCCGCACGCCGCGCGCCGCCCCACCTGTCACCAGCCTGTCTCTCTCGGCCAAGGCACACTCGGGGGGAGACCGGAGACTCGTCGACATGGTTCGTATGATAAATAAATAAATAAAAACGGACACCTCTCTACTGTGAGATGGGTAAAAAGGAACAGGTCCCCGCCCGTGCGATCTTTGTGCAGGGTTCTTTGACTTTGTGGGTGTGTGGTCGGCGACTAGCCGGGCCCGGGGTCGTCCTCCCGATGGGGGAACTAGCACTAGCCGTCTTCCACATGGTCCCTCGCGTCGGGTCCCTGCTGCTCCTAAAGTAATCTCCTCGTACATCCTCCTGCTGATCTCCGCAAAGTCCTGCTCCCTCCCTCGTCTCGCCCTGCGCATCTGCTCCGCCTCCACATCGTCTGCCCTGCGCGGTCCTCCGTCTGGCGACGGGTGGACGGGTCCTCCATAGTCGTAATATGATGTATGATGATTCGTTTTTTGTTTTCTTTTCATATCTTTCTCTCGGGGGCGGAACTTGAGGCAACTAGACAGAAAATATGCGTCCCGGCGCCGTACCCGGCGAGTCGCGCATGTGCACCCCGTCCTTTATCCCGCATCACGGGTGCATTCACGAGAGTGTCGGCACAGACAGCACCCTCCCCCGCCGTGCGTCTCCCACATCCCTCGCCCTGACAGCCTCGGCTGGGGTCACCTGCCCCCCCCCGCCCCGGCCCGCCGCCGGTGGTTGCCCCGGCGCCCCCCTACGGCGGGGTCCACCTACGGCGGGTCCACCTGCGGAGAGGCCGTCGACGCGGTGATGCGGGTGGCGGGCCCTCCAACCTCGTTCCAGTGGCCGAAGAGGAGCTCCATGAAGCGGACGACGTGCTGGTTGACCTGCAGCGCCGAGAGCGGGTCTAGGTCCGCCCGCGGGACAATCAGGTTCGGCGCAAACACGATGATCATCGACTGCGCCGTCATCCGGTTCTCGGACTCGTACCTGGCGCAGGGCCGAAACTAATCTCGGGTACTCTCGGGTCATCTCGGGTAATCTCGTACCGGGCAAGCCGCAAGGAGGCGTCAGCGGCGCGCCGCTCCTCTCCCGGCCGCTTGACACGCCCCCCCTCCCTCGAGGCACGGCCTCCCTTCTCCGCTGCCCCCCCTCCGCTGCCCCCCCTCCGCTGCCCCCCCTCCGCTGCCCCCCCTCCGCTGCCCCCCCTCCGCTGCCCCCCCTCCGCTGCCCCCCCTCCGCTGCCCCCCCGCGCGCCTGCAGACGTCTCCGATCAGCTCGAGTAGCCAGCGCACCGTCGAACGGCGCGGCTCCGGCAACCCCTGCATCGCCTCGTAGCAGCCGGCGCCGGTGGTGAAGTCGCCTGAGGGGAGGGGGGAGGGAGGGCTCACGGCGGCGGCGGCGGGCAGGATCTCGCGCCGGCAGGGATCTCGCGCCGTCGACGATAGGCGCGCCGATCCGGTCTCGCGACTACACTACTAACTACTGCGTACTAAACTACTGACCGTCGACGATGGGCGCGACGATGCCGGTCTCGCGGTCGGCGCCAAAGACGGACTCGGGCAGCTCGCGGAACCAAACCTTGCGGGCGAAAGGGGAAGAGGGGGGGGGGGGAGGTTCCGAGGGCGCGCTCCGTGCAGATACCCGCCCTCCGCTCGCGCACGGCGCACCTTGATGAGCTGCGCGACCGACTCGAGGTCGCTGACCTTTGAGGTCTGCCCCGCCTCGACCAGCGCGCGAGACGCCTGACCTCGAGTGGGACTCCTCGTGACCTCGAGTGGGACTCCTCGTGTGGGCTGACGGGCGGCGCCGCGGGCGGTGCGGGCAGTGCGGTGCTGGGTCGCCTGGAGGGCCGAAGTGGCGGGCGACACCCGAAAGATGCCTGGGGGAGGAGGAGGGGGAGGGGGCGGGGGCGGGGTGGGGGTGGTGAGTGGGGGTGGTGAGGGCGGAGCACATCTGTTGGTGCTCTCGCTGCTGCGGTGGTGATGGTGCCGCCGCAGCCGGTGCGGCTTGCGAGCTTCTCGGTGGGCGGTGGGGTGCGGCTGCCTTCGTTGCGGTGTCCCTTGCGCGCCATCAGCAAGGTGCGCAGCTCTTGCAGCACCTGGCGACGCGCACAGCGTGAGCCCGAGGCGAGGGGGAGGGGTGCGGGTGCGGGTGCGGGTGCGGGTGCGGGCGCCTCCGGCACTCCGTCGTCCCCGAGGCGCGCCTCGTCGAGCTTGACACCGAAGCGCGACGACCCTTTGCCCCTGAGGGGCGAGGGGAGGGGCGGAGGGAGTGGGGGCGAGAGGCGGAGGAGGTGAGAGGCGGAGGAGGTGAGAGGCGGAGGAGGTGAGAGGCGGAGGAGGTGAGAGGCGGAGGAGGTGAGAGGCGGAGGAGGTGAGAGGCGGAGGAGGTGAGGAGGCGGAGGAGGTGAGGAGGCGGAGGAGGTGAGGAGGCGGAGGAGGTGAGAGGCGGAGGAGGTGAGAGGCGGAGGAGGTGAGAGGCGGAGGAGGTGAGAGGCGGAGGAGGTGAGAGGCGGAGGAGGTGAGAGGCGGAGGAGGTGAGAGGCGGAGGAGGTGAGAGGCGGAGGAGGTGAGAGGCGGAGGAGGTGAGAGGCGGAGGAGGTGAGAGGCGGAGGAGGTGAGAGGCGGAGGAGGTGAGAGGCGGAGGAGGTGAGAGGCGGAGGAGGCGAGAGGCGGAGGAGGTGAGAGGCGGAGGAGGTGAGGAGGCGGAGGAGGTGAGAGGCGGAGGAGGTGAGAGGCGGAGGAGGTGAGAGGCGGAGGAGGTGAGAGGCGGAGGAGGTGAGAGGCGGAGGAGGTGAGAGGCGGAGGAGGTGAGAGGCGGAGGAGGTGAGAGGCGGAGGAGGTGAGAGGCGGAGGGGGCGAGAGGCGGAGGAGGTGAGAGGCGGAGGAGGTGAGAGGCGGAGGAGGTGAGAGGAGGTGAGAGGTCGCGGGTGACTCGGGTGGGTGAAGGGCAAGGGCCCAGGGCCAAGCGGGGAGGGGTGTGCTCGGGGCGGAGCGGGGCGGGCAAGGGAGGGGCGGGTGGCTGCGCGAGGCGTGCGCGCGAGGAGGTTGCTGGGAGGGCTGGGAGGGGGAGGGAGAGGAGCAGCTGCGGCTCAGGGAAGGGGAGGCCCCTCTCCTCCCTAGCCCGAGCCAGCGCTTGCCGGCGGCCAGGCTCATCGTGCGACTGGGCTCGGCGCTGGTCGCCGCGCCAGTGGCGCCTTTCGCCGCCGAGCCCCGCCCTATCAGCCGCTCGGAGAGGCTTGCCCCAGCCGCCGCGCCCGCCGGGAGCATGCCGGCAGCACCCTTGGCCGGCGCGGAGCCGAGGGTACGCGGAGGCGAAGCGGGAGACGGCGATTTGGATGCCGGGCTGGCGGGCGCCTGCGGCGGGGCGTGCGCGGGATCGGCGGAGGGCCTGGAGGCTCCGCGACGCGGGCCGAGCACGGCCGCACCTCCCCTGCCTCCTGCCCCGCTCCCTCGCCCGCCGCCTCTTTTACCGGCTGCGCGGTCGCCCTCTGGGAGGCGGCACGCGAGCTCGCGGTGGGCTGCTCCAGGGACTTGTAGAGCCAGTCGATCTTGCGTATTCTCGTCCACTGGCGCGACGAGCTTAGCTTCTCGGTGAAGACTGACAGCGAGGCGGCGGCGACGGCTCAGCCCACGCCGCTGGCGCGGCTGTGGCGGGGAAGAGAGGGGAGGCGGAGGCGTTTGCACGCACCGTAGGTCTGCTTTGTGATGGCATTCGTGCTGTAGAGAAAGTGGAGGGTCTCCCCGCTGATTGGCCCGCGGTACGCCTAGTGGAAGGATGTGGGCCAACGGACTGACGGTCAGAGAGGCGCAGCCGGGCACGTAGGGTCGATGGCGCAGCGCGCCCGATTGCTGTCGATGAAGTACCACGCCGCGTCGCTCTGGGCAGCCGACGCAGTGGAGAAATCTGACCGCTCTGTGGCCATCGAAGCCGATCGGCAGCCCAAGCAAAGGACGGCTCCTCAGGCCGCAGAGGAAGGAAACCAACTGGGGGCCGTGAACGAGCGGGCTTACGCCCCTAGCCTACTCTGTGAATACGTATTCCACGTATTCCAAAACAGCTCTAGAATGGGTAGTATTTGTATTCAGCGGGGCACGCGCGGAACGCGCGTGCCGACTGTGCATAAGCTATAAGACTGTACGCGCACGCGCGCGCGTGCGAGCCGCGCGCGTGCGTGCGCGGCGCGCACCGTAAGGAGGTCCCGCGCGTGGCGTCCGACGTGCTCACAGCAGCGTCCCCACCGCCCACCCCCCCACACCGCCCCTGTCGCCGCCGCGCTTGCCTCACATCTTGAGGTCCTCCTCGTCCGAGCTGTCCGAGTCGGAGTCGGTGTCCCACTTCTCGACCGCCTGCTTGTAGCCGGCGGTCTGAAGCTTGCCCTTGAGGTGGAGCGCCTCGTGGCAGTAGACGCGCTTGTCGGCGCGACGGCGTGACCCATTTGCCCGCGCGCCGTCGTCTTGATTGCCCCGTAGACGGACCAGTTGCGCTCGCGGCCGACCGCGTCGAACACGAACTCATCGGCGCGGGCTCTCTCGGCTACGGGACCGGCCCCAGCTTCGGCTGAGGGCTAACAAGCTGCCGAGCCCAAATCACTGTGAGAGTCGTGATGCGTGGATACGTGATTTCTTGTTGGTCTTCAAAAATCTCTCTCTCGCATGGCCAGTCGATGCCGTGGTGCTCGGCCTCGGCTGGCGAGACGGCTGGCCGCCAGAAAACACAACTCTAAGGAGGAATGGCAGGCGCCACGCCACCACACAGGGATTTCACGGGAAGAACGCCACAAGTTTTTCTCTTTGGCCGTGTTCGAGTAGAAGTTCCCTGTTTGTTGCCGTCGAGGAGCTGGAGCGGCGCCTGCACGTCGAAGGCCGTGCGTGCACATGAGTCGCGTCGCTCCACCATCGTCCGCGGGGGCGGCGGCCTCCTCGACCAAGGCGCTGCGCAAGTACAAGCTCGTCTTCATCGGCGACCAGGCGGTCGGCAAGACGTCAATCATCTCGAGCTTCATGTACGGCACCTTTGACTCGCACTACGCCTCAACCATCGGCATCGACTTTGTCTCGAAGAGCGTGCCGGTGGACGATGGAACGGTCCGTGCGGCGGGGCGTGCGGGCGTGGGCGCCCAGTGTGTGTCGCGTGCCCAGAGCCTGCGCGGCTGGCGTCTCCCTCTCCCGTGCCGCCGCCCGCACCGCTGATGCTTGCGGTGCAATTTCCGCCGCGCGCAGGTGCGGCTGCAGCTATGGGACACGGCGGGGCAGGAGCGCTTCCGCTCGCTGATCCCCTCCTATATCCGCGACTCGCACGTCGCGGTCGTCGTCTTCGACATCACCAGCCGCGCATCGTTCGAGTCGACAAAGCGGTGGATTGCAGACGTGCGGGCGCAGCGGGGTAACGACGTGGTCTTAGTGCTAGGTGGCCCGCCCCCAGCGCCTCCGCTGCCCCGCCGCCTCGCCCTCCGCCAAGCCTCCCTCTGGCGCCGCCTCCCCCTCTCCAACTTTCTCTCCTCTTTTCCCTCGCAGTGGGCAACAAGACGGACCTGCACGACCAGCGCGAGGCACCGGACAGCGAGGCCTGGCCGCCCGCCGCGAGACGCCCCAGTCGCGCGGAGCTGCGAGTAGGTGAGTGTGGCGGAGATGGAGGCGAGGGCGAACGAGGAGGACATCATGTTCATCGAGACGTCCGCTAAGGCGCAGCGTCCAACCTCGCCCCCTCATCGTCGCGTCGCGCCTCGGCCTCTCACCTCCCTCCCCCCCTCCCCCACCCACTCTCTGCCCTTTGGCTCCCAGGAGAGAACAAAGAGTGGTCCCTCAGCCCACCTCAGCGACACTTCCGCGCCACTTCCGCGCCCCTTGCAGGACAACTCGAACATCAAGCTCCTCTTCAGAAGACTCGCCACGGCGCAAAAGGGCGTGCCCTCCACCCCCTCCCCCGCTCGCCTCCCTCACCCGTCCTGCTGCCGACCCCTAGGCCCTGCCGTCGCTAGAGGGGGCAGCCCCGCCACCCGACCCGGCAGTCGTCAACTTGACGCTGCAGCCGGCGCAGCCACACGGGACGCAGGGCGGGGACGCAGGCGCGGGCGGGTGCAGCTACTGCTGACGGGGGGGGAGAGGCCGACGGCGCCGGTTCGCCGGCGTCTGCGTCCGTTGCGCCGCTCGGGTGTGCTTGCGCAGCGAGGTGGGTGGGAGGGGCGGGGCATTGCCCTCTCCTTTGGTTTTGCCAGTAGGGATGCATGTGTGATCGCAGTAAATGGGCCACGCGTGACGGCGGCTCGCCTCTTGAGCCCTGTCGTGTCGCGCTGCGCATGGTGTGAGCGAGCGGAGAGTTTTGAAAAAGAAGAGTCACGATCTGTGGTTCGGCGCGGATCCGCGCACCGCGCCGGCCCGCGGCCCGCGGCCACCCCGGACGCGGTGTGCACCGCGTGTGCAAAGAGTAAGCGAGATGCGGTGAGAGAGCCGGAGACCGTACCGCGGCCTGGAGCGCGGCGGGCGGGGCACACACACACGGCACTCTGAGTATGCGCACCTCCGCACTCGACGACGACCCAGATGAGGAGCGCCTGTGCGCCAGATCGCGCCGCACACACAGCTGCTCAGAGGGGAGAGCGAGAGGCGCGAGAGCACGTGCGCCAAGGCCGCAAGCGACGCGCGATCGTGCCGTAGAAAAAAGAGCGCGAGCTCGCGGGGGCTGACGCCTCGGCGAGCAAGCTACTGTAGCCCGCGCTTCCTCGCCCACCAGATCCACGAGGCGGAGCCGAGGTAGTTGTTGAGGAAGCGCACGCATGCGGAGACCGGGACGCGGCCGCCGGCCGGCAGCAGCCCGATGCATCGCCCCTCGAGCGAGTTGACGAGCTGGTAGCGGCTGTTGGACGAGGCCGCCATGAAGAGAGCGTAGTTGAGCGCCTATGGGCGAGGGGACCGGTTCCGGCGCCCGGGCGGTGCCTCGGGGGAAGGCGGCATGGCTCGCCGTCGGTAACAGAGGCGCCAGCTGCACGGGCGCCGCCGCCTGCTCCTCACGCCTCGCCCCTTTCCGCCGCCGCGGCGGCGGCGGCGGCGGCGGCGGCGCGGCGAGGCCCCGCAGCGCGACGAGCCCGTACGTCAGCCCCTGCCCCAGAGATGACGCCGCCGCCCCGACGGCTGAGAACTGGACGCCGCGGAGCGCGAAGCAGGCCGCCCGCTGCCGGGAGGAGAAGCGGCCTTTCTGCAGAAAGTAGCCGGGCAGCGCGGCGAGGGCCCCGCCGCGAGTTCCGGCAGCCGGTGGCGCCGCGACGGCGGCGGCGGGCGAGAGCATGAGCACGAGCGCCGTGTTTGTCAGCGCAATCAGGATCTGGTTGGTGAGGACAAAGTCAGCCTCGCGGAGAAAGGCGTCGCCGCGCGCTGCGAGATCGGCGGCGAGCGTGCAGCCGCAGCCGAGCGCCAGCTCGATACCGAGCATCGTCACCAGGCGAGGCTCCGCCAGTAGGCGGTCGCGCAAGTAGCCCACTGACGCCAGGGCCCTCGATAGTGGATGGCGCAGCAGAGCCTTCCAGTTTGCAATCTCCACCGCGCCGATGCGGCCGGCCGCAAGCGCCGCAAGCAGTGCCGGCGGCAGAGCATCGTCGTCGCCACCGCTCGCGCCATCCTCGCTGCCCCACCCTCTGCCGACACCACCGCCGTCGCCGCCGCCACTACTACCGCCGCCGCCGCCGTCGAGGCCGACCGCGCCGCAGGTGACGCTGGCGCGCGAAGCTGTCGCGGTGCGGATGGCTGGGAGGAGCCGCGGCGGCGTGTGGAGCGCGCTCGCCGCTGCGAACAGAACCAGCGAGCGCGCCCCTGCGAGCGGTGGCATGGAGAGCTTGCAGGGCTGCGATTGGATTGCGTGATCTCGGACCTAGCTGCCACTCTCGCACCCCTCCGAACCGGCACCCCGCCCTCTTTCTTGGCATACACAACGCATCTCAATCGCCTCTGAAAGCGGTTGACCGCGCCATTTTCCTTCCGACAGCTCCCCCGCTCTGTGTTCGTTTTAGGTTTGTTGTGTTCGAGAGAGATTTTAGAAAACCAACAAGAAATCACGACGGCCACAGTGAGAGAGAGAGAGATGTTTGTTTTGTCACAGTGATCTGGGCTGACTGAGCAATGAGCAATCGCATCGGCGGTTTCACTCACGCTCACAATCGGGTTACATCCAGGTCTCTGTGCGGGATGTGCTGGGGGGCTGCCCCCCAGTCGATTGCCGCATAGTTCGTCGATGTAACCCTACCAGAAAGCTGTATTCACACCTACCCTTCCAAAAAAAGAAATGTCCCTGCTTTTGTCGAAGTTCCGGCGGGTTTATCGGAGCATCACCCCTTGGGTCCCGGTCGTGTTTTGTGAAGCGCCCGGGGCTTCGTCCAGCACCACTCGCAACAGCTCTCGCGCGCCGCCGTCAGTGGCGACGCGCAAACCATCAACAACGCTGCTCGCAACATGCGTGTCGCGCACTCGTTCATGACCGGTCTCAATGCCCCACCCCCCTGCGCGCGGGCCTTCTAGGCCCGCGGGTAGTCTCCCCCCATCCCCAGGGCCTCCAGGGCTCGCACCTCAACCTCTCACAGACCAGCGCATAGCGCCACAGGACGTATTTTCTTTCCATAACAAGGCCGTGTGAACCATCGGACGTATTTCTTCTCATAACAAGGCTGTGAACAGGCCAACCTCTTTCGCTTCGCGAGCGGGAGACGCGCCGATAGCATGTACGCGTCCTCCGCCATAGCTGCGCGCTGGCTGTCAGTGTCCGACCCGGGCGGCGCTGCCGAGGGCGACCTCGACGGCGGGCGCGAGTGGACACCAGAGGCGCTCGACGACGAGTGGGCGGAGCTTCTCGCAGCTCTCCCGAACGTCGATGAAGATCGCATCCATGCGGCGCTGCTGGGTGGCGTGCCAGACGCGAAACGCCCGCGCGTCTGGCTGGAGTTTTCCGGCGCCGCGCAGGCTATGGCTGCGCGTCCCACGCTGTACGCCGACCTGTTGGAGCAGGTTGCCGCATCCTCTGCAAGCGGTCGGGCGGAGACGGCAGTGCACTCCCAGATAGAGAACGACCTGCGTAGGACACAGGTCGATCGCAGCGCACGCGGCGCCAGCAGCCGAGGCGAGAGGGCGGGTGGAAGCCGGAGCGGAGGCGAGGGCACTGGAGGCGAGGGCACTGGAGGCGAGAGCGACGAGAGCGAGGCCTTGGGCGCGCTCCGCCGCGTGCTGCGCGCGTTCGCCGCCTTCAGCCCGAGCGTCTCGTACGTGCAGGGTCCGCGCTCGCCGCCTCTCCCCCTCCTTCCGATGACGCAACAGCGCCAGCACTCTCGCTAGCAGCCCCCGCCTCACGACCCTCGGGCCGCCTCGGCGCAGGCATGAACTTCATCGCGAGCGGGCTGCTGTCCCAGCTCGACGAGGCCGAGGCGGCTCCTCGCCGAGTACCGCCGCCGCCGGCTCGAGGCCGCCTGCCCACGGAGGCTCGACTCTCTGCGAGATAGGCCTTTTGGATGCTGACCCTCGTCGTGGCGGAGTGGCTCCCGGGCCGCCGCCGCCGCCGCCGAAGAGGGCAGCGCGCACTGCCCACCCGTCTGAGCCGAGCCGGAGGAGGCGCGTAGGCCACTTCTCGCCCACGATGCGCGGCAACGCCGTCGACTGCCACGTCCTCGGCGCCCTCTCGCGGGCCGACTGCCCTCACCTGGCCGAGCGGCTCGAGGCGCTCGACGTGACGGTCCCTCTGCTCGCCACGCGCTGGTTCCTCTGCCTGTGGGTGTCGGTGCTGCCGCACGCGTCGCTGCTGCGCGTGTGGGACGCGCTCTTCACGCTCGGGCCGAGCGCGACCATGCAAGTCGCGCTCGCTTGCATGCGCGTCATCCGCGTGCCGCTCCTCGCCGCGTCCGACGTCGGGCAGGCGCTCGGAGGCGCAAAGGAGTCTCTGCGCGCGACGGATGGAGGCGCGCTGCTGCGCACCGCCCTGCTCGACGTGCCGCGCCTCTCGGCCGCAGACCTCGCGGCGTGGAGAACCCGTGGGCAGCAGAAGGCGAGCGAGGAGGCGAGCAGCCTCGAGGCGCTGCGCCGGAGCAGAGCCAGAGGGAGCAGCCAGGACGCGGCACGGTAGCACGACGAGCGCCACGCCGGTGCTGGCTGCAGGTGCGGTGGACTTGTGGTGCGTCATTATAGCCGCTATTTGTAATTACATTTTTTCGTCTGAGAGACGGTCTGCGAGGCACGTCGTAGGCAGGCAGGGTCGATTCCTCATGGGGTACGGGACCCCGCCCTCTCGAGATCGCGTCTCGACACTCGCGAGCCCTCCCCCTCTGCCTGCTCTCCACCGGGGCGGGGGGCCCCAAGACCGCAGTCCGCAGACGCGTCTTTTGAAATGGCCGGTCTTATAGGTTATGGGTCTGTTGGCAAAAATCAGCACAGGACACCGGACGGCGTCACTACCAGCCGTGCCAGGTCACTGTGCCTCGCTGCGCTGCCTCGTCTGCGCTCTCCGCGGCCTGAGGCGCGACCGCGAGCGGCGAGGTGTGAGCTGCTGTCTGCTGGGACAGCAGGCACGCCGAGGAGACGCGTGCAAGGGAGTTTCTGGCAAAATTCTTTTCTCCCAGTGTCGTGCGAGGGAGGTAAATGTAAAATTCTTTTCTCCCCCGGAAGAAGCATGCGAGGCACAGCTCGACACGCCCATTTAGGGCCACCAACGAGCCGGCCGTTCGCTAGATTCTGCGTGCTGTCACGCACCCCATCTGCGCCACTCGAGCGCGCCATGCTCTCGTACTTCGAGGCAAACGCCAGCACGCAGGTTTCCATCCGACTGTGCGTATTCTCCGACGGTCAAACCCACCAGGCGATGAAAGGCGTTCCTCTGTCTCGCCGAAAAGACGCAGGGCGGACTCACGTACCTGAGCACCGCCGCAGGCCAGCGCGCAGGCTTGTGGACAACGCGACGGCGGGCGCCTTTGGCTGGGCGCAGCGCAAGGGCGCCGGGCGGTGCAGTCTCGTGACGGACGTCGCGATCGGCTGGCTCGGCGCGCGCGTCTTTGCGCGGAGCAGGCTGCATGCCGTCGAGGTGTCGCGTTTCCTAGAGTACTACGCGTGGCCGCTCTCACGCCGCTTCTCGGCGAGGCACGCTCTCGCGGTGCACGGGCTCAAGAAGGCGGGCGCGCACGCGTGGTTCGCGGAGCAGGCGGCCACCGCTAGCCACGTCCCGCCGCGGCTTTCCTGCCGCGCGTCGCCGTGGGCGCAACAGCGCTCCGCCTCGTGGCGGCTCTGCACGTCGCTCTCCGCCTGCAACGACCCCGGGGTGCCGCTCGAGCCGAGCATAGGCCAGCTGCGCAACTTTTCGGTGCCGTGGGTTCCGGGCGCCGTGCGCGACCTGTGCAAGCTCCACGCCAGCGGGCGATTCGGGCGGAGTCGACTATCTCGCGCGAAACTTCACACGTCGAGCGAGATGACATCTGAGAGAGATGAGACCACTCAGGTGACAGAACCTGTTTATATTTCATTCATGCATGTGATAGCATCTTAAAGCGGACGGACGACTGTGATCACCCACGCAAAAGCCAAAACCCACCCGCACCACCCACAGCCTGTGTGTGACGCACAGCAGTTTCAGCGCGCAAATAAAATGTATCGCCCGGCACGCCACGCTCAACAGAGGGACTGACAGAGCTCAGAGCAGCTCACACACTCACACAAATGTCAAATCACAACATGCACATGTGCATGTGCACAATTCACAGATAGGTGGTGTCGATGAGAAACCAGCTCGTTTTTCGTGCGACGCGCAAGAGCGGCCGCACACCGCTCGGTACCCCCCCTGCACACCTAAGCCCATGGCCGACCCCCCCCCCCAGCAGCAGCGCTCTGCCTGTGGGGGGTGCTGGCATCTCTGTACAGACAGCAGCTGTAAGTAGCATGCGTTTGAGTTGCGAGAATTTATGGTCGGCATCAAAATCAGTGGTCTCACCGGCGGGGCCTCCTACTGCCACCGGGCGGTGCGGGGCACGCCAGCATCTCTTCTACGCCTCTCGTGCCTCGCGGCGCCTCTGCTTCAAGGAGGGAAGATACGGCTCTCGCAGCCCATCATACGCCGTGGCACAGCGGAGAGCACAGCGGGCTGTGTACAAGTCCATCGGATAGTGCTCAATATCTTCGCAAGGGAGGGGGAGAGGCGCGCCGCCTCCATCATATGTAGCAAACCGCGGGGCGCAGCTCAGCTTGCTGCCGCGCGCCTGCGATCCAGAGGCACTTTGTTGGTCCGCGGTGGCCGAAGGAGGGGGAAGGGGGCGGGGGTCGTCGCGCGCAGCCGCAGCCCACCATGTCAGTGACTCTGTGTGGCGCCCGCGCCCCGCGGCTCGCCCCAGCATCGCAAGGGGCCGGGAGAAGGCAGGGGGTGGGGTGGGGTGGGGTGGAGATCCATGTGGTCGCTCTCTGGTTGCGCGCTTGCACAGTGTTACTACCCGTTAGAATATGAGTTCCCTTTGAATCAGCGGGTCCGGGTGCGGCGGCGCGCGCGGGGACTCCGGGACTGCGCGGAGGCCTCTCGGTACCCCTCCCCTCCAAGTGCACGCAAGTTCCCCCCGGCGCCCCGGGACACCCAAGGCGAGCCTGCATGTGTGCGTCTACGTATGTGTGTGTGGGGTGGGGGCTAGGGTGGGGGGCGATGGGGACGTTGTTGGCCTCTATGCGCGGGGCGGCTATAACCAAACGCTAAACCCACGGGGGCCGACCGACGAGTCGAGACGTACTCAATCGGACATGCCGCGGTTGGTTCTTTCTGTGGTGGCGTGGCCTGCCTGCGCGCCTTGTGCGTGCTTGAGAGCAGAGCTCCAGGTCCCGCAGGCACAGCGTGAGACCCTCTGCCAGTGAATGAAACGAGACCCCAACGAAACGGCGAGAGAGCGGCATTGTGCACGGAGCAAAGTGCATTGCCGTTCTCAACGGAGTGGCGTAGGCGACTCCGGTGGGTGTGCCGGGCGACTCCGGTGGGTGTGCCGATGTTAGTAGTTGTGCGCGCCACAGATAGAAAGAAAGCAAACAGACACCCCAAACGAGGGATGAGAGTTGGGAGGAGGACAGAGTCCCCACATGCACGAGCAGGATTTTGGAGTACGCCGCAGAAAGAAAGAAAGAAAATAGACAACCCAAGGGAGGGATGGGAGGACGGCACGCCACGCCGCCACCACACAGGGAGTGCGGGTCAGGAGGCCCTAAAACGGCGGGAGGGGTAGGGGTGCCGCAATAGGGGTGTGGAGGGGTCGGGAGGGCGGGAGTGTGGACCGTGACC